GTCAAGAGACGGTGAGACTTGACAGTTGCATGACGGTTACAGTTCTGCTGCACGCCCAAGGCATTAGACAAGAGGCCAAGGACCGTGTGAGAGGACTCTGGGTTTGATTCGCAAGCAGCGTGTAGCGCTGACATGATTTTGCGAAGCCGCTCACCAAGGAACTCCGTAACCTCCCGTGGCGCTGTCAAGTTGTGGAGTCGTGTGCCCCATTTCTCGGAAGAGAACGAACTGGACACGTGCCCGGAGCGGCTAACTTTACCTACTTTACCCAAGGAGGCCATCAAGCTTTCCCCACAACTGCGGACGATCCACCCCGGCCGCATATGCAGCTGTCGAATGTTTGTCCGAGACAGCGTCTTTTTAGTAGGTTCGCGCACAAGAGATGAGCGGCCACCGCAATTGAGACATGACATCTGCCTGGACGGTCTGAAGGGCGTGGGTCGGGTCGGACTTGGGGCGCCATTCAGCAGCTGCCTTATTTTTTGGTTGCGTTATTTTTGTTACAGATTTGGAGCGCAGATTGTGATCGCGCCGGCCTCCCCTGACACCACCCGTCCGCCTAAATTGGGGAAAGATCAAGGGGACAGGGGCAATGTGAATTGAGCGTTAAAAAAAATTGCGTCCGCGGGTCGTGGTACTGGCACTGGGAAAAAGCACACCGCCTTGGGCGACTAGCAAGCCGTCGGATCGGTGTATAGATGGATGGAGCCGAATGCGGATCCGCCAGAGGATTCATAAGAGTAGATACGGTGTGGTAGCATGGCTAAAGTCCGGAAGCCGCACTATTAGGATGGGCAACGTCAAGACTGTTCCGGGTTGCTGGTGCGTGGCGAAGAGGCGTGAGACAAATCCCGTAAGACGAAGCCGATTAATAATAGACAGCGCGTTGCGGATCAAGGCCACGCATGGACACCGACAAGTTGATAAAAAAAATGCCTCGATGCCTGACTGTGGTGTGGCTCGATACGAGAGCTGAAGCAGACGGAGCCCGAGGGGACGGAAGTATAGTAGAGTACAATGGTCGAGAGGACCAGACGGCGTTGATGACGGATGGGTAATTGCGACGCTGTCAAGTCGATATGGCCGACAGAAGCAAATGGGCTCCATGGAATGGGATTGGAGCCCATCGGTGGAGAATGCGGCGTTCGCTGCAAGGCCAGCCAGACGCGTCCGTTCCGAATGCTCCCGACAATATGCACGTCTGCCCCATGATCCCTGCTACCCGGCCGCTGTGGCTGTGGCACGTCGAAAAAATTATGGGCGTGCCTGTCTGTGTCGGCGGTTTCAGGTAGTCGGGATGCAGGCAAGAGGATAGACTTGTCGTCGACAGCCTTCGTGACAAGATGCGTTGCAAGCCGTCTGGTCCGTCTGCGCGTATGGCCGTTAGACGGGCAAGATGCCGGCGCTCAGCATGGCGGGAGCAAGGGTGGGTAGGGTTGGGGATGGGGAGAATACGACTGGCGTGATGGTTACAGGCTGACCAACGCAACGGGTTGGTCTATGCTTCCCCTACACACACACCTTGACGGCGAGAACGGATCTCCTCACAGTGTCTCTTGCGGACCCCAGACCCCTCCCGATAGGCTATTCGTTATGTAGCCCCAATCCTCCGCACGCCCCAGGCGGCCTATTTCCCTGACATCTTTTTTCAATTGCCGACGGAAGTTTCATCCCATCTCAATGCACCGATTCAGGTCGCTTATAAAACTGACGGCTCCTGCTCAAGCCTTCCGCTCTTCAATCCCTAAACCCTCCCTTCGATACATGGCTACAGTTGCCACTCACAATATGCCTTCTGCCACTCGCCCCAGCTACGCCCGCAAGTTGACCACAACTTCGGGCGACTATGACATGTCATACACCCCAGACGTCCGCCGCAGTCTCGGCACCTACGGCCTCACCCCTCCAGCCGTCGAGAGCTACGATGTCCAGACCGACCGATGTGAGTTGCACTATCATACCCTCTAGACTGCAATTGCTAACTCTCCCACAGGCCTTCGCCTCCTTGCCATGAAGCCCACTCCCCTCGAGAAATTCCAGTACCTCGTCCACCTCCGAGCCACCAACGTCCACCTCTTCTACAGACTTCTCGGCGAGAACATCAAGGTGAGCAAATGCCACCTACAATCTGTGCAGAGTCACAACTGACACATACCCAGGAATTGACTCCTCTCATCTACACCCCGACCGTCGGCGAGGCCTGCTTACGATGGCACGAGATCTGGACCCAACCCGAGGGCATGTACCTCTCATGGAGCGACCGCGGCAACCTCCGCAAGATCCTCGACAACTGGCCACACGAGGTCGACATCACTGTCCTTACTGATGGTTCCCGTATCCTCGGTCTTGGTGACCTTGGTGTCAACGGCATGGGCATTCCCGTCGGCAAACTTGCTCTCTACACGGCTTGCGCTGGTATCAAGCCCGACAGCACTCTCCCCCTCACTCTCGATTTGGGAACCAACAACAAGGCCCTCCGTGAGGACCCTCTATACATGGGTTCCAGGATGCCCAAGGTTACCCCCGAGCAAGAAAAGGAATTCCTCGACGAGCTCATGGTCGCCCTTACCGACCGATGGCCCAGGTACGTAGTAGTCCTTTTTCTGACTCATCTGCAAAAATACTAACAGTACCCCAGCATTGTTATTCAATTCGAGGATTTCAAGAACCCCTTCCCCGCCCTAGAACGCTACCAGAACCAATACTCCATGTTCAACGATGACGTCCAGGGTACTGGTGCCGTCATTGTTGGTGGCTTCATCAATGCCGTCAGGGCCTCTGGTGTCCCAGCAAAGGACCACAAGGCTATTTTCTTGGGCGCCGGAAGTGCTGGTGTCGGTGTCGCCAAGCAGATTGTTGAGTACTTCATCAAGGAGGGTCTGACAGAAGAGGAGGCTCGCCGCAAGTTCTGGTTCGTCGACTCAAACGGACTTGTCACCCTTGACCGTGGCGACAAGCTCGCTGACCACAAGGTCTACTTCGCCCGTGACGACAACAACGGCCGCCAATACCAGTCGCTTAGCCGCCTCATTGACTACGTACAGCCCACCATCCTCATGGGTCTGTCAACAATTGGTGGTGCATTCAACAAGGACATTCTCGAGAAGATGGCTTCGCTAAACAACCACCCCATCATCTTCCCCCTCTCCAACCCTTCCAGCAAGTCTGAGTGCACATTCGAGGAGGCCGTCCTTGCCACTGAGGGCCGCTGTCTCTTCGCATCTGGCTCTCCTTTCCCAGCAATGGAGTACAATGGCAAGCTGCTCACCCCGGGCCAGGGAAACAACATGTATGTGTTCCCAGGTATCGGACTTGGCGCCATTCTTTCCAAGGCTGTTTCTATCACACAAGACATGATCTACGCTTCCGCCGAGTACCTCTCTACCTCCTTGAACAGGCAAGAGGTTGCCGATGGCTGGTTGTACCCTGACATTCGCCGTATCCGCGAAGTCTCTGTCGTTGTCACCCGTGGTGTTATCCGCGCTGCTCAAAAGAACGGTGTTGACCGTACCGTTGAGCTACGCGATATGAGCGACGAGCAGCTCGACGACTACATCAAGAAGAGCATGTACGACCCACACACTGAGAACCAATACTTTGACCGCAAGCTATCACAACTCGTCTCAAACGAGAAGCTCAACGGCACCCACGTTGGCGTGTCTGAGGTCACCAACGGCATTGCTCACTTGTAGTCTTCCTCGTCTTCTTTCAACACATTTCTGGCGCCAACATTTTTAATCGCTGAATATGTCTTCTTTTTTTTCCTTGTTTCGGTCGTCACAGTATTTGGGCACCAAGGAGATTGGGACACTAAGTTTTCCTCCTTTTCCTTAGGCGAGGGACTAGAATGGTTTCGATACCCTACTATTTCATGGCTTCCTATCTCTCACAGGACACGTAGTACATGTAGATATTTCTCTACTCGGTGTAGCCGGGCACACCAAAAAAGGGCAAGAATGCAATAAGTTTAGAGTTTATAAAGTATCCTTTGAATGTGAGGTGCGACTTATGTGATTCACTGTCGTTGGATGGGAATTCTACTGAGATTGCCGTCCCCCATCTCGAGCAGAGAGCCATACATGCACCATGTCCTCAACATACTTGCCCCAAATACTCCTCAACCCCAGGTGCATTTCTATTCTTCCCAGTGTTCTGGAATGCCGATCTACTAGCTCTCCCCCCAGTTCTCCAACTAACCCAAAAACCCATAATCTCACCCATGCCCATAACACGGCAGCAAGCCACATCCCACTACTTACTTCCCACCCGCGTAACCACTAACGGGAAGGCCCGCGCAAACACACACACACACCCCGGACCCAAGTCCCACCGCTTACTTGCGGCTTGGTCTGGCCTTTACCGGTGTATCTGCGGGATGGGACCGGGGTGGGTGGTTTGAGCACGGGAGGTGAAAAAAAAGGGCGCACTGGTGCCTTTTTTTTTGCCTCCCCTCCCCCCCCCCCACCGCCATGTTGCAGAAAAGGAGACTTTTCCTATTTGGGGAGGGGTTTTATGGTGGTTCTGCGGGATGGAAGGGGAGGGAGGATGGGACTCTAAACAATAAGCTGGGGAGCAAACGCAGTGACTAAATATTCCGACATACTAGCACCATCTTAGTACTAGACGATATTCTCAATCTTTACTACCTTGATTTTGTCCTTGTCAGACATTACCTTCTCCTCTTTAACAATCCTTAACCTTGTTCGTCTCCTGCTTCACTAGCGTGCCATGCTATTATTTTTAGGGTTGGATGTAGTAGTTGTTGTTGTTGTTGCTATATTAGGGTTTTATAATAGGGAAACGTTTTTATAGAGTGGAGTGTGAGTAGTAGTTGATAGCTTTTACTAATGATTCTTACGAGCGCATAAGTGAGTAGCTTTATGAGCATTGCGCATTTGAATGATCAAAGGTGGAACCTACGCGCCCTCTTCTCACATTGAGAGTCAGCGACTACTACTCTGCACGAAACGCTCAATTGCCTTTCGCGATAGCCGAACGCTTCAAACCTCCGCATCGATCTCCTTATCCTCCTCCTCCTTTGGCTCGGCCTTGACGTCCAAGTCTGCTTCGTCATCCTCACTCTTGGGCGTAGCAACCTTCTTGCTCGGCCTAGCACGCGGCTTCTTGACACTTGGAGGGGCATCCTCGCCGTCCTCCTGATCGGTCTTGGACTTGCGCTTGCGAGGAGTAGTAGCAGATGCCTTCTTGGGAGTGGCCTGAGGGACGGGTGCACCAGATGCCATAGCATCCCACTCTGGCCTGAATGCCCTGATGAGCTTGTTGGTCTTCTGCTTGAAGCCACTGGCAGTGCGGCCAGCAGCGTAGAGACCTCCCTGTGATGCGTTAGCTTGGGCTTTCTGTGCGTGCTGTGTTTCTTTGTGGGCTTGGGTACGTACATCCCAATCAAGAGTGATGTTGTCCTTTTGGATGAGGTACAAGAGACTGGAGAGCTGGTTGGGATGTTAGCGTTGCCCTTTGTCAAGGTGTTTGCGCTTACGATCTCATGATCGGTCCATCCCTTGGGATTATTGGCGTCGTCCATGGTGTAGATGGTGAATAGTTGGTTAAGCTTGTGGATGTGAAGATTGTGGGGTTGGAGAAAGAAGAAGAGGTTTAATAGACTTTGAATTTGTATGTAGGTGATAGAGAGAGTGTGTGTGTCTAGGTGAAGACCCACTGTTCAAAATTGTTGACAAACGGACCTCACTCTCACCATGTAACTAGAGCAACGGACTAGGCACCGCTAGCACCCTACAGAACGAGAATTTCAGCCTCACACTTCCGTCTCTCACGTAGAATTCTAATTGAATCTTACTTTCATCGATAGTCCGCCTAAAATCAACTTTGGGACTATCACTACACCTACATACATATTCTATCTAGTTACCAACTACTCACACTCTACTCTATAAGAACGTTTCCTATCATATAGCAACAACTACATCTAACCTAAAATATAGAATAATACGCTAGTAAAGTAGGAGAGAAAGAAGAAGATTAAGAATAATGAAAAAGGCTTATATGCTCGCCTAGTGCTGCCTATTCATAAGGGGGGCATACCTCTAAGGTGAGGATCTTATAGATGCTCCTTCGCCGATTAAGAAGCCTTGCTGCCCTGTTACGCGCATACGCACGTCCTAACTACATTTTCTTTATTATACACCTCTCTCTTTTCCTCCTTACAAGTATAGGCTCCTCTCATGGTCTTACAGACAGGGGGTAGAAAGCTACCTACTCTCTATAGAAGGGTGGGGGAGGGAGAAATGTAAGAGGAATGTACATGGTTTGTACCTTAATGGCTGTTGAATTCGAACTACTAACTATTGATAGTTGGCGTCCGCCCTCAACCTGCCAGGTGCATTACCTACTGTGCCAAGCCACCACACTGAATGATGAGCTGGTAGTAGCAAACGCAAAGTGCTGAAACCTCCTACCCAGTACCATCTTAGACGACATCATCAATATCCCCCTCTTTGACTTCATTCTTGTCGCCCACCACCTTCTCCTCTTCTTCCTCAACATCCTCAACCTTCTTCTTCCTTCCCTGCTTCACCGGCGTGTCATCCTCCGCCTCCACCTCCGCCTTCGCCTTCCGCTTCCTCGGAGTTGTAACCGCCTTCTTAGGCGTGGTACCACCAGCGTCAGCGTCAGTACCGCGCAACGCAGCCAACTCGTCTTTCAGCGTGCCCTTGAGTCGGTCGACCATGATGCGGCATGCGCCTACGGATTTGCCCTCGGGACGAGGCGCGTTCTGGGTCGGTGTGTAAGTACGGGTTTGGACAATGGGAGTGGGGAGGACGAACGGTAAAGTCTAGTTTTACGTTTGAATACTCGACTAGCGAGAAGTAGTAGGCGAGCTGCATTGGTTAGTCTGATTGTGGGTTTTATTGGGGTGGGGGAAGGGCGTACACGTTGGCGGTCGGTCCAGCCTTTTGCAGTTGAGTCGTTGGAGGACATTTTGGGTTGACTGTAGCTGTTGTGTTGGGGTTTGGTGTGGATAGATTGTTGAGGTTGTGGGGTTGGAGAAGAAAAGAAGAAGTTTAAGAGACTTTGAGTCTACATGTATAAGTGAGAGAGAGCATGTCTCGTGTGAAGCGAGTGAGGACGCTAGTGGTGGAGTCATGCAGTGAAGGTGAGTGTCGATGCATGTGCGCCACGTCAGGCTGGTGAGGAGATGGAGGAGATTAAGGATATCGTCTGAGATAGTGCTGAGGATCAGTTACTCTGCATTAGCTACTAGCTATTAGAGTGTATATATGGATGGCAGGTGTGTAGGCACGCAATAGAGTAGCAAGGCTTCTTAATTGGCGGAGGAGCATCTACACGACCCTTACCTTAGAGATACCCCATGAATAGGCAGTACTAGGCACTTAAGTCCTATGCACTACCCGTCCCTATACCCCACGTGAGTTTCTTGTCCATAGATATTAAACTTATCCATCAATCAGAGTCTATGTAAGGGGCATACAGAGTTTCAGTACCGCAAAGTCAATCAGATAGTCACAAGAATATTATGAGCGGCACTTCACAGCATCACGGGATAATGAAGAAAATTCTCGTTCATAAAGATTCAACATGAAAATCGTAATAAAATCCAATCTCTCATACAATCATTGACAGACAAAAGCTAAAAAATAGGAAAATAAACTCGACTGGGTATCAAAAACTATTCTCTCATACTTCATCCTGGAAAAAGCCCCATGTTCCAGTTATGAACCGTCATCATCATGAATTTCCTCCATGGCCAAGTGTGACAACACGGGTGTCGTTTCCAACGTCCAGACATATTCCAAAAAGACAAGACAACTTTCCATCTACCGCGTATAATCCGGCTTTGTCGCTTTGTTGACGATTGGAGGCGGTCCATCCGTATCCGGATATGGTAAAGGTGCACCAGGTGGCGGTCTCGAGAATGACGAACCGGGAGGTGGCGACATGGGCGACATGGGCAACACACCTGAAAGAGGTGGAGGGGGTCTTCCGTCTTGCAGAGGTGTCTTGGGGGGTCTAGGCGGTGCGTTTGACATACGATCATCCCAGCTAGTTGCCGAGCTGACCATTGATATCGGGCGCCCAGCTGAGAATTGCTCATGTGAGCGGCGGCCAGGGGCAACAAGCTCGCCAGAATGTCGATGTATCAGGTCATGGTAATTTTCGGAGACTGGCGATGGCGGGTGCTCATCAGAGTTTACCACCAGGTACTTGTCGTTTTCTGATGGCCGACGCTGGTCTGCTGGTGGAGGCCGGAAGGCTGGGTGTATGTTTGTGTAATACTCGGGTGAGAGTTCCTCGGCAGGGAGTTCGACGGCCATGGGCGCTGGATCTGGGACACTGGGAAGAGGCTTGTTCGGTGCTTGTGCACCAGGCGAGAATGGTGATTCTCCTTTGGCCGCGCGCTCCCATCGTATTTTGGCGAAGTGGATACGTGCAATCTTTGCGGCTGCGTCCAACGTCATACCTTGTACAGTCTGGTCCGCCAGGTACATGCGCGTGTTCGTGCTGATATCGGCCAAGGCGTTCCATTCGTTCATGCCAAACTCGCCTACACCAACGTTTACGTTCAGGCGGTAGTAGTTCTCCTGGTTAACATGTCGTTTTGCGAGGTGGTCCTTCATCTCTTTGTGTGTCTTCTCACATCCTTCGATCTTGGATATCAGTCTCCGCCTAGCCTCGGCAAAGTCTCCCATGCCACCAGAAACAAAGCCTTCCCACCACAAGTGTTGCTGCGCATTCGTACCCTCCGGTCGTTTTCCAGTACCAATGCTGACGAAGACACCAACTTCACGCCCAGGCCATTCGTTGCAAACGGCTTCGTCCAAAGCCATAGGTGCTGGGTTATATTTGCCAGAGCCTTCATCAAGGAAGACTGATTGACCAATCTGGATGGGCTTGAAAGCCAAAGCAGTCGCAGAAGTTGCTCGACCGGCTTGCCATATCGTCGCGTTGGGTTCGATAGCAGGCTCCTTGCGCGAGTCGTAGGAGCGAAGAAGTATCTGGCCCCCACTGGACTTTCTGGTACCTTTGTAGACGGCCGTGACAGCACTGCAGGTTGTTAGTCAACTTGATTTTCGCAAAAGAACAGAAAGTGCACTTACGTCTTGGTGCGCTCTTCGCGATTGTCGTAGAGCAAAGCGTGTGGGTTCCCCCACTTCATGGCAGCGATGCGCATGTTGACGGGCGACATGCCAATCTGGCTGTAGTTGCTGGCGTTACTGGCACTCCTGTGCATACGGCCTGACGTGGCGCTCCCTGGTGTCATAGGCAGCGACTCCCGCCCTTCGTGACTGTCGTTGCCTTCGTCATCGTAGATGGTGTGCTCGCGCACACACTGCATGATGGCTTCCTCCAGCTTCGAGGCCTTGAACAATGTTGACCGGTACGGTATGCCCGCAAATGTCTTGTCCGTTTCAAAAACTCTTCTCGTCATGCGCACGTAGACGTCTTTGCACGTCTCCACGTCCATCCTTAGCCGCCCAAGCATTATAGCAATCAGACCGCCGGTGCCTGTCCCTACGATAAGGTCGAAATGTTCGCATGGCTTTGGTACTTCGTGTCTTTTGGGTGCCCGACCATGTATTTCGACAAATGTTCGATGCATCAATTCCTGCAGGATAATGAGCATGGAGTACCCCCGCACGCCTCCACCATCTGTCAGATATGTTAGCAACCCCGCCCCATACTGAAGACGCGCTTCGACCACGTACCTAGGGACAGGATGCGCAACGGCGGTCCCTTTGTCGTATCCTTTCTGCGAATTCCATTGCTTGCCATGTCGGGCACGGTAGCCGAAGCAGTTGGCAAAAGCATAGAGTGACTGGCACCAGCAAAGTGGTTGCCTGGAGAAGACGAGTGCAGCTCTCCTATAGGTGGAGGCTGAAAATAAGGCTGGTTGATAGTCGGATCTGCCGGGTTGGGTGTTGGCGTTATATCAGGCAGCGCAGTGGGCCAACTGGCGGAGCTGATTGTGTGATACGGAGGCTGAGCAGAGTCCAAGCCTAGGCGCGCGCGCTGAAGGCGCTCAAAGACGGTGAGGGTAGGTGTAATGTGGCTGCGACCAGCGAGAGCAGGCGACGTAGGAACTAGTCACAGGAGAGACAGTGAGTATGTAGGGTTCACGTGGATTTTAGTTAAAAGATTCTTGAGCTTTCTTCGCCCTGGGACAGCAGCCAGTTGGGGTGGACCAGCACCGTCATTCGTCATTCGCCAAGCATAGCTCCAACCGAACTGCACCGCCACCTCGAAACCTGGCACATCCTGGCCTCGCGCTGCTGCCAGAGCCCAAGATCTTCCGCCTCTACCGGTTTTGCATCCAGAGATGCTTTGCCCTTGCAGCGGCAACGCGGTGACCCGCTTTGCCATCTGAACTCTCCCCTGTCACGACGGAACACGAATCCACGCCTGTCCAATCACTGTTGCCCGGCGATGACTCGGATAGTCACGCTTCCATCGCATCTCGCTCCCTCCGGCCGAATGAACACATGCATAGCGGGCGGATGTTGACCCAGGTTGAGCAAACAGACCGTATTGTCTGCCGTGTCGCTT